TTGCTTAAATGATATAACTGCCTGAATGCCTGTGGGTGAAGGTTGGATTACTCGAATTGGAACAATTCATCGAAATGCGAGTTTTAAGCCCACTGAAGAGTGACAAAATCATGTTTTCTAAGCCCACTTGAGGATGGCAAATCCACATCTTAGCCTACTTGCGAGTAGTAACTTCAAACCATTTTCAAACAAACATGAGATGTTTTGTTCCAACTTAGACGATCTAGTCTATACTTGTGTGTTGTGTGTATCACGTAGTAATGCTAGTTAATAATCGGAATAAGAATACATGTGTTTTCATAAACAAAATATCATGCTTAGTACAAGCCGATCTTTGATCGGGCGAGCGGGGGTGCTCATAGATGACCTTCTCCAATCATACCCCAATTTCCGAGACGAGGCAACTTTGGTGATGACAGACACGTGGCCTTAGGCAACGAGTCAGGATTTCCTAAATTCCCTCAAAATAAAATATTTAGGTGGCAACTCTGTATTTGGCAAAGCAGTCCATATTTGGCACTTCTTTCTTAAAAATCAGTTTTTCAAAACGATTTGCCAGATTTGGACTCTTTGGTAATTTATCAATCTCACATTGCACATTGTGAGATCAGATTAAGAACCGTGACATTTGAGTCCGAACTGCAGCATGAGGCCCACGGGGCGCGTCTACACATACATATATATATATATATATAATAGATGAAGTTTGAAGCTGAGAGACAATGAAATTAAAACTTCTCTCTCTCTCTCTTTTTCTCTCTCCATAAACAGTGACCCAAGAAAAGAGAAGCAAAAATCCCTCTTCAGTTCAGCTTACAGAGCAAAATTTCAACTTCACTAAAAAAAAAGAGTGTAGAAAGAACACAATGAAAAAGCATATTGTTCATCCATCAATGTCGTTTGTAGTTACTTTATTTTGTTCTCACTTTCAAAGGTATACATAGCAGCTTGTAAATTGCATAGAATTTTGATATAGGTGAACCGTAAATGCATCCCTACACAACTAAGAATATAGGTAATTGGGTTCTTATGGGGAATATGCACACCTAGACAACAAAAATCATTTATAGGTATACTATAGAGTTGTGGATTTCTTACTTGTATACTAAATACTCTGATTGATCAAAGGCAAAACAGAATAGATGAAAAGAAAATTTTTAAATTATAATTTCTAATGAAATCATCTAGACATATACCTACACAGTTGCAGATTTCTTACTTGAATAGTCGTTACTCAAATAGATCAAACAAATAACTAAGCACTCCAGCAATCATAATGCAAATTAAAGCTTACGTGCAAATAACCTTTTTCCTTTTGTATATAATAAGTAATTCACATCAGACAGGTTAAATCGCAAGAGAAAAGCTCCATTGAAAGCCATTAGAAATTCCATAACTAAACAACAAATTGCTGATACACAACGAGAAAAATGCAGATACAATAACACAATAACAATCTAAATACCAAATTCTCATCAGATCTATCACAACAATTAAATTTAGATCATCAGATCGACAACACAAGCGTAATCATAATGTCAATCTTCGTAAAGGAATATCAAATTCAACATTAATTCATTCCACTAAACTGCCGCAAAATCATAGGAATATCGAAATGCAAGTGAAAATCAACAAGTAAAAACCAGAAAACAGGAGCTAGAGAGAGAGAAAAGGTATCGTGAAAGCATTCTTCGAAGTAAACTTCGACTAAAGTGATCGCAAAGAGGACCTTTTTGTTCAATCCCAAAACGAGCAATCGTAGAAGTGAAAACACATTCAATAAGGACATGAAAACCCTAGAAATCAAAATCAAAGAGAGACGAAAGAGGAGAATTGGAACACATAAATTTAAGGCTTGGAATCGAATTAATCGAATAGATATGCAAACAGCAAATTAATCAAATCCATGGAAGGGGTTTAGAATCAGAATTGAACTCCAAGCTCGGAGTGGTAGCGGCTGGTGGTGGTCGGTGGTGGTGCTTGTGTGTTTTGTGAGACATCGATGGAGAGAGAAAGAGTGACGCATGAATGCAAAATCTGTGTGAATTCAATCTCAAATACAAAGAATGTATGAAGATCTATTAGGGGATTTGAAGATCTGGTTCGTTTTCTATGGTTTTGAAGGAAGAGTGAAGAAGAGAGAAAGAGGGGTTGGGTTTTATTGGAGAGTCCGTAATTTGATTTGAAAAACATAACACTGAACCCTCCCATTGTCTCTCTCTCTCTCTCTCGACTAAAATTTATTTTGGTTGTAGAAAGTAAACTATTTGTGACCAATTCTGGGTGTGGTTGTGGAATGTAGTCGCCAAAAGGTTTTAAGATCCCCTTTTTAGTCGCCAAAAAATGTTAACACTTTTAAGATTCCGTTAACATTTTAAGATTCCGTTACAAAATGTTAACACTTTCTTAAAATGTTACAAAATATATATATGATCAAAGCTTACAATTTCTCTCTCTCGCTAAAAGTGTTAACATTTTAAGATCTCGTTTTTGGTCACGAATGTAGTCGCGGAATGTAGCCGCCAAAAGGTTTTAACATTTTTTCATCAGTGACCAGAAAAATGTTAGTCGTAGAAAGTTAACTATCTATGACCAACTCAAAAAAGGTAGTCGCCAAAAGTGTTTTTTCTTGTAGTGCCTTGTTGACCTTCCACCTTATAATATTACATTGGGTGCAAATGGGTTTTTCACATTAAAAGAGATTCTAATGGTACAATTGCTCGTTATAAGGCTAGATTGGTGGCAAAGGAGTTTTTGCAACAAGAAGGAATTGATTTTCTTGAAACTTTTAGTCCGGTGGCTAAACAACCCACAATCAGAATATTCTTAAGTATTGCTCTTCAATTTCAATGGCCTATCAAACAACTTGATATTTCCAATGCCTTTCTTCATGGCATTCTTCAGGAAGAGGTCTATATGTTGCAGCCTGCAGGATTTGTGCAATCTTCTACTCATGTTTGCAAACTCAAAAGGCTTTATATGGTCTCAAGCAAGCCCCTGGGGCTTGGTACTCTACTTTTTCAGCCTTTTTCCTCTCTCAGGGGTTCATAAATAGTCTGTCTGATACTTCTCTCTTTATCAAGAAAACTTCTACTAGTCTCACCATTCTCTTGGTGTATATTGACGATATCTTACTAACTGGTAGTGATTCTGCTCTAGTTGCTCAACTTCTTCAGCAGATGCACGGCTTTTTCAATGAAAGAGCTTGGTTCTCTTTCCTATTTTCTGGGCATTTCAGTTCATACTCATGAGCATGGTTATTTCTTATCTCAAGGCGAGTATGCAGCTGCCTTATTGCACAAAACAAGTTTGCAACACTGCAAACCATGCTCTTCTCCTATGGTTGTTAAGACAGTGCCTTCTGCAATTGATTCTCTACCATTTTCTCATCATTCTTTGTATAGGAGTTTAGTAGGTGGTCTGCAATATTTGACTATCACTAGACCTGATCTCGCATTTGCTGTCAATCAGGCTTGTCAGTTTATGCATCTTCCCACCAATGCTCATTTTCAAGCAATTAAGAGGCTTCTTAGGTATGTTAAGGGAACTTTGTCTCATGGTTTCTCTTTCACACCTAGTTCTTTTTCTCTTTTTGCTTTTTCAGACTCTAATTGGGCCAGTGACAGTTTTGATCGAAAATCTATCTCTGGCTATTGTGTTTATCTTAGCTCAAACTTGATTTCCTGGTTAGCTAAAAAGCAAGCTATTGTCTCTCGGTCATCCACTGAAGCTGAATATCGAGCCTTAGCTCATGCCACAACTGAGCTCACTTGGCTCCAGCAGTTGCTCAAGGATTTAGTTTGTCTGCTATGGCTTTAACGTCCAATCTTGTGTTTCATTCTAGGTCCAAACACATCAAGATCGATTGTCATTTTATTCGAGAAAAAGTGGTTGCTAAACTGATTGAGCTCAAATATATTCCTACAGTTGATCAGGTGGCTGATATCTTCATTAAACATCTTTCCCCTTCTCAGTTTTATTATCTTCGTGACAAGCTGTTAGTGCTTCCTTGCCCTATCAGCTTGAGGGGGGGATGAAAGAGTTATCTCACCAGCTGAGCCGCAGCCTCTGCCTCTGCCTCTGTCTGTTATGGATTGTTCATCACAGGCCTATAATAGTAGTCTTAAGCCGAAGTGCTACAATGGCATCAGTTGTGGTGGTTAGAATATCAAGTTGTTATAGTTTGTTATATAGTTAGTTAGACTAATCATAAGCCGTGCTGATAGAATTAGATATTTTGTATAGATTATATTAGATATTTTGTTTAACTGCATATATATACTTGTGTACTCTCCAGTTTTGAATAAGATGAAGTGTTATAAGATTCTCAATAAGAATGTTAACGAAAACAAAAAATTATACTGATTTGATAATTACAATCACATGATTTCATCATACTTATCTTTAGAAAAAATTAAATGATATATTTTTGAATGGAATTAACAGAAATAGAATCCGATCAATTCTCAGTATGCCTTTGTAAATATTTCTCACTGTCTCTGCTATTCCACCAGGACACACATGAATCCCTTCTTCAATATTAATCCATGTGGTAGACGTTAACCCTTTTTTGTTTCAATTTCAAAATATTACTAAATTTTAATTTTAATTGTTCATTTTTTTTGCAAAATTTTATATTTTTGAATTTCTTTTTTCAAAATTTTTCAAACAAGATATAGATTAGTCAATGTGATTTCACACAGTTTAATAATTATAAGAGTACTCAAAGCACTTACTAAAAAAAAAAATTATAAGAGTATTTATCATATATGAGAGCATTAAAGGACTAACTTCCAAAGAAACTCAATTCAAGAAAATTCTGCCTAACCTTTCACTCGTAGGTATCCGACAATGCTGTCAGGAGATTTAACGAGTAGAAAATTATTTGGTAGCCCTGGAGTGGAGCATAATCGTGGAATGAAAAACAATACATAAATTATGAGAATTTTCAAACTTTCATTATTCAATTTTCAAAAAGGCCAAAATGAAGACAACAAAAATGAAAGTACAACCATACAAACCTTGGGATTTATCACATAGATTAAACACACTGCATGAAATTGATACTTTTCAAAACTCATACTCACAATTACATATTGAGATCCATTGTTCAAAAAAAAGTGTCTGTCCTCTTGTTTCTTTACTCACAACCACACTATGATTTTCTTTAGATTAAAAATCAAATCGTGTGACTGTTAATATATAGAACAGAAGGGCAAACATTTTTTAGGGAGAGACCATCACAGACCTAAATTTATACACTTGTTGATCACTACTTACATATAGGTTTTGGTACACCATCTTAATATCAGCACACCATTTTTACACAAAGTCCATTCACCAGATAGTGCTTAGTCATGGTATCTGAGTAGGGCTATCTATGTAGATGTGGTGGTGAGCATCAGTAGATGATCCATGGCCTAACTTTCCATAACTCTGGTTCACATCATCATTGTCGTTGTTCTCACCATCATCAGTAGTGGTAGTTTTAGTTTCATCGATCTCTTTGGCACCTTCTTTTCCATTTATACCATAATAATTTGCACCGATGTTAACTTTTCGTCCAAGATTTCCATCACTTAGGAGCTGACGATCCAACATAGTGACCCTCTCTGCGTTGGTTTGTAGAGTTCCAAGGATCAACATGAAGGCTACAAAGATTAGTAGAAACGTCTTCATGATTCAAGCGATATCGCTAACCCTGAAAGGCGTTTTAGTTAGTGTTTTCTGAAATAGCCAAGGAAGAAAACAAAGAACAATTACAATAAAACTAGGGTTTACAAGACTTACCACTCTTCTTGCTTCAAGAAAAAAAATACATGCATGAATGATGAAATTATGGATTCCAAGTGTGACAATATATAGGCAAATTTCATTACTGTATTTGAGACTCTGAAGACAATTACGGCGTGCAAAAAATATGATGTTTATCCAGAACAGATATTTAGAAAATTGTCAATTTAAATTTATTATATAAATTTCAACTTAGTGTAGTGTGGATCATATTCAAAATAAATGGGGTATATTACATGATCATTCTTGAGACTTCAAGATAAAAAATATATATATAATAAGCTCTACAAATTTTACACTGTAATTACATTGAGTTTCTTTTAACAAAGCTATAAAACAATTGGAACTAACGTAGATAGTATATAAACACATAGATGAACAAGGTAAAAATGTATTCTAATATAAAAAGACAATGATATCATTTTTCAATTCATATTAACGTATTTGATTCACACAATTTAAATTTTAGATATTTTTAAAATGTATTTTTTGAGTATATACTGTTAGGGTGTGCGCATTGGGAGGGACTGCTAATACCTATTGGTGAGGTATACGCATATATACCACCCACCAATGGTGTGGTGTAATGATGGTTAGCATTATTATTTTTTTGATAATTAAAAACTTTAGTGCTTAGTTTCATTAATTTATTGAATAGATTATGTTACATGTTAGGGTTCCAACAATGGGTGATAAAGAAACATCTAGTTGAATTATTTCACATCTCGGATGATTATTGAACACAGATCTCTTAACTACGTTGAATATAATGCGTTTTTGAGTACGAAAAACACTTAATCAAATGAAATTAACAAGAGAAAAATATATTTGTCATTGTTTTTATTATCAATAAATATGATAAATTTATGGGGTTATGATTATCGAATTAATCTAATTTTGTAAATGATGATTTACATTCAAAGGTCACAAAATAAACAAATCAAATTAGTGAAATTAGACCCGTGATAATTCCCCGAGCCCAAACTACACACATTTTGAGATATTATGAAACTTTAAAGGGATAAGAAGAAAATATAATTTGATGTCAAAAGGATTGTAATGAAAGAAATTGAATTGAATCAAAGATTACCGAGAAACCAAGTTTTATATTTGAGTTAATCTATTTATTGAAATTTTCATTCTTAAAAAAAATGACAACAACAAAAGCATTTATAGATGCAAACTAAAAGAATAATACTCAAGTAAAATAAGGGTGAACAACGGATATATCGATCCGTCCAAACCGACTGAACCGAACCGAACCAAACCGATCCGTCGTATTTAAATATTCTATTTGTGTTTTCAATTGAAAAGGAGTTTAAATATTCTGTTGAAAAAAAATTTTCAACTTGAATATATTTTTTGAATTAAACAAAAATAAACGTGTTATTTATCTATATTTTTTGGTTTTTAAATCTAACTCTAAAAATAATAAATAGAAAATATGATATATGCTGGTTGATTTTTATTTTCAAAAATAGATATAAATGTAACAATACAAAGACAAACAATCTCTACTACTGTTCTGTTTATAGTTTTGGTGGTTTGAATTGTTTTTATATTTTAAGAATTACAGATTGTAATACTTTATGTGGATAAGGCATGCTGTGATTGTAATATGTAGATGAGGCCTGCAGTGATTGTGATATTCTAAAGTTTCAAACTTTATTTCTTTGAATGAGGTATACAGTGATTGTAATATTTTTTTTAAATCATTGACTTTAATACTTTCTTCTCTTTTTTTTTTCGGAAGAAGTGATCAAGTTGAATTATGTTGAAAATTTATAAAATTTTAAATCGCGAAACCGATTCGCATCTATCCACCAAACGGCCAATACGCTCAATTCATATTTGCTGGGTTAACAGATGGATGCGAATTGATTTTTATCAATCCATCAATCTAAAGAACGGATGACAAATTAAATATTCTGTGACTACCACCGAACTGCGTATACCCTAGTAAAAGAGAACATTGTGGGCAAGTTTCGGAGGGGAAAAGAATCATATGATAATGAAAAAGAAAAAGTGAAGTTTGACAGCCATATATTTTATTCTAAAAGAGAGTCAGAGGTTCTAGCCCAATTTATGTGGCTAATGGAGAAACGCATTGTATAGGGAAGCTGGAAAATTATGGAATCATTTACCCACCCCACCATTCATGAAAACCTTACTTCTATCCTTCCTTCTTCAAAAGCTGAAAATGACCTTCACTTCCACCCATTCATAAATTTCAAAACTATTTTTACTAGTGAGAAAGTATATCATAATTTAAAGAAAATAATATTTGTTATCCAGTGAATTTTACTATATTTTTTTTCTCATCTTACATGGATGCATATATAAAAAATATCAGTGTACATGTAAATTCATTATATCTAAAAAATACTATTAAAAAATTGATGAAAATACTTGGTCACATACTGTAGCTCTCTAATTAATATATCACACATTAATTATGTTTCAACGAAAAAAAAAAAAAAATCAATTGTTCTTGAAAAAAACTATACAAAAAAAAGTTTATCATATAAAAGTAAATTATTTTTTACTTTTTACTTTTTTTTGTCTTTAGTTGTTTTTTATTTTTGGGCAAATTACATATACACCCCTCGAGGTTTGGCTAAATTACAGATACCCCCTGAGGTTTCGGAAATTACATCCCGCCCCCTGAGGTTTGTATTTTCATAACAATTTGCCCCCTGAGGTTTATATTTCATAACAAATTACCCCCTAATTTCTTATGCAAATATAGCATTCAGGGGGGAATTCGTAATTTCTCAAACCTCAGAGGGGCATCTGTAATTTAGCCAAACTTCGAGGGGTGTATATGTAATTTGCCCTTTATTTTTCCTCATTTGTCTAGTCATGTAAAAATTAAAAATTTTATTTTAAAAAAATTAACAAAAAAATAACTAAAAATTTGATCACAAACGACTAACAAATCGGCAAAACGGGCAGCCAACTGGCCACATGGATAAAGGACAAAAATTGACATTGTAGACCCACACCTTTCTAGTTGAGAAAAAATTCAATACAATCAACTATATTAAGATCGTATCATTTGTCTACCATGTGTAGATCTCAACTCTATCAGGATGATATGAAAATTATAAAAATGAAATGGATAGTAGTTACATTTAAAAGGTGAGGTTTAATATTACATTCAAGTTTTATTGTTTTTAGTTTAAACCATTTGTTATAGAAAATTATTCTACGATTTAGCACACCATATATATTGTGGGGATATATTTTCTGTATACCAACACGTGGCATGGTGACGCCGACGTGTCAGCCGAGGTGCTACGTGCCCTGGTAGTTAAGCCGAGGTAATTTCGGAGAAGCCGAGGTCATCTCCGAAGATATCGGAATCCGAGATATGGGGCAAGAGTCCTAAGGCACAAAGGGGACTGAATTAAGATAAGTATAAAACTTTCAAGGAGTTTATCTGTATCACTTAAAAGAGTCCAGAGTAAACAGTGAACTAGAATTCATAGAAGTCACAATTCATATTTGCTGGGTTAACAGATGGATGCGAATTGATTTTTATCAATCCATCAATCTAAAGAACGGATGACAAATTAAATATTCTGTGACTACCACCGAACTGCGTATACCCTAGTAAAAGAGAACATTGTGGGCAAGTTTCGGAGGGGAAAAGAATCATATGATAATGAAAAAGAAAAAGTGAAGTTTGACAGCCATATATTTTATTCTAAAAGAGAGTCAGAGGTTCTAGCCCAATTTATGTGGCTAATGGAGAAACGCATTGTATAGGGAAGCTGGAAAATTATGGAATCATTTACCCACCCCACCATTCATGAAAACCTTACTTCTATCCTTCCTTCTTCAAAAGCTGAAAATGACCTTCACTTCCACCCATTCATAAATTTCAAAATTATTTTTACTAGTGAGAAAGTATATCATAATTTAAAGAAAATAATATTTGTTATCCAGTGAATTTTACTATATTTTTTTTCTCATCTTACATGGATGCATATATAAAAAATATCAGTGTACATGTAAATTCATTATATCTAAAAAATACTATTAAAAAATTGATGAAAATACTTGGTCACATACTGTAGCTCTCTAATTAATATATCACACATTAATTATGTTTCAACGAAAAAAAAAAAAAAATCAATTGTTCTTGAAAAAAACTATACAAAAAAAAGTTTATCATATAAAAGTAAATTATTTTTTACTTTTTACTTTTTTTTGTCTTTAGTTGTTTTTTATTTTTCCTGATTTGTCTAGTCATGTAAAAATTAAAAATTTTATTTTAAAAAAATTAACAAAAAAATAACTAAAAATTTGATCACAAACGACTAACAAATCGGCAAAACGGGCAGCCAACTGGCCACATGGATAAAGGACAAAAATTGACATTGTAGACCCACACCTTTCTAGTTGAGAAAAAATTCAATACAATCAACTATATTAAGATCGTATCATTTGTCTACCATGTGTAGATCTCAACTCTATCAGGATGATATGAAAATTATAAAAATGAAATGGATAGTAGTTACATTTAAAAGGTGAGGTTCAATATTGCATTCAAGTTTTATTCTTTTTAGTTTAAACCATTTGTTATAGAAAATTATTCTACGATTTAGCACACCATATATATGGTAATGTTTCATCAATCACTAAATATCATGTTTTCTTATTATTTCTCATCAATCAATATTATATCATAAATTTCATTTTCATCACAAATTATAGTAGTCACACTATTTGACTATGCCCAAAATCATCAAATAAACACTACCTCATTATGTCCGAAAAATCATCAAATAACTTCCCGTCAATAATTACTCGCACAGTGGGACTGCTAGGTTGATCTGACCGCACGTCAAGCATAAATTGTTGGAAATGGTTATAAAATTCTGGATAAAATCAGAATTTTTTTCTAAGTTCGGTCTATTTTTTAGGTGGACCCCGAGTGTCGATTTACTCGGGTCAAAGTGGTAACGCGTTCTATGCCGCGTTGTGATTCACGTGGTATATTTGGTTGCTCAAAACCATTACCGAGTGAATGGGAAATTGAAGCCAAAGTGTGCTCCATGGAAATGGAGTTTTGGTGGAAATTCCTTAAGGTTGTAAATTGGCTTGTCCCACATTGATTTGGTGGGAAGTTTTGAAAGGG